TATGCAGGTAAATTTAGTAGTGTTAAACATTAGGATTATAGCGTTCTTTGCATTACTTGTACGTGTGTATAATAATTACTGTATAACTGACTAGAAACTTCTAATTAAATAGCAACCATACATGATAGCTGCTATTCTGGAAATGGCTGAAAAGGATGACATATTTTGCAATAGTCATCTACTAACTGCCAAATACCTCCAGGCATGTATTATGATGTTTGAGAATGGAATTCAGTCACATGAGAAGATCACTAGTACTTTATCAAAGGCATTGTCAAACATGGAAGAAGGTATGAAGTGGTTTTTTAAATGGAAGGAGGAACTGCAAGAGGAACCAGGTAACTGTTTCATTTGGCAACTGTAGACTGAAATGTTTTAATGCTAATAGATATTTAATTTAGGAGTCCTTTACAAAAGAACTTTCTAGCTTGGCAGGTATTATATATTATGTACACTTTTATTCTTTTTTGACAATACTGCTTTGGTAGCACCTCACTCAAAAAAGATGATAAATTAATTGTTTCAATTAATTTGAAAGTCCCAAAAACCAATTTTAATGTCAAAGATGATGATAGTTGTAGTAGTCTCATTGTATCTATAAAACTCTCAAACATTAAATGTAAACCAAAAGATGATAAAACCAAGTGTGTTGTAAAAAATGACCATTGTAGTAGTAGTCTGATTGTATCTATAAAACTCTCAAGCATTAAAGTAAAGACAAGTAGTCCAAAAAAGATGAAGATGTCATTACTTATGAAGAGCTTCCTAACCCAGATATTGTGAGGAGACAATGGGATTATGTTTATTACCCTGGTAATGAAGAATATCAAAGAAGGTGGTGTGAGGTTTTAAATCTCAAATTTGTCATAGCTGCTAGAATTTTACTTGATAGTCCAACAACACCATTGTCAGATGAAAGAGTTCCTAATAGTATTCTTGATGTCCCTGGTGATGGAAACTGTTTATTTTATGCCCTTTCATATCTCATTACTGGGTCAATTTTTCAGCATTACAAATTACGTAAAGCAATTGTTAGCAATATGCCAAATTTTGAAAAAGAATTGTTTAATAGTACATTAAGTGCCACCAGATATTCGAGCATATATGATTACATAAATAAGTCCAAAATGTATAGAAATTGTGTGGGCCTCTGACACAGATTATTACGCTAACTGCAATATTAGGTACAACCATATATTCATATTCACTAACTCCTACTTTTGTTGGCTGGGCTAGATATGGAACTCAAACTTTATATGGCATTCCTTGTGATACTAATACACCTGCCTTGTATTTGAAGCATGTTGGTACTAATCATTTCCAAGCTGCTAAGTCTATTAATGATAATGGAAGTGGGTATGGTGTATGGGGTCCATCATCTTAAAAACATTGGTTGTTTAATGTGACTTATATTTCACTGCATGTGCAATGTGAATGATGTGTGAGTGTGAAAAGCATTGGTGCATATCCACCAAGTATTGCTCAGTATCAAGGGATCAAACTGCATTCAGGATGTGAGATAATCAATGTATAACAGTAAATATTGATTACATGTTGCTATAATGGACAGGGAGAGGGTGTGAAAGAGGTTTGGTGTTCATAAGAGTTTTGCATTAATTCAAATTTGTGTGACTATCATTTATGTAGGACAGAGGGTTAGAAAGGGAGGAAGCTGTCATCAAATCTGGATCTTGTTTGTGGTTTGTACTACATGTTTAGTACAAATAACAGGTACTTATGGATCTGGGCACTGCTGAAAAAATTTTAAAGGACAAGAAAAATTTTCGAGTGAAATTAAACGTTGTTATTATACATGTAGTATTATTCAAGCAGTGATTCTGTACACATATTAATGATCATCATGCATGTTAATGCTGTCATCAATGCTGTGCGCATTACAAATAAGTAAATGCTTGCGAGCTGATGTTGCACATAATGCTGCCATCAATGCTGTGCGCATTATTAAGTTGATGCTTGCCGGCTGATGTTGCGCATTTGAATGATGCTGCCATCAATGCTGTGCACATATTAAATGCTTGCCAGCTGATGTTGCGCATCTTTTGTTGATTGTTGTAACATGTACATGTTCTCATCAACAAAAAAATATTGTTTGCACATTAAAAATTTTTCATGTACACAGTGTTATGTTATATTAAGCAGGTCATGAATGTATCTTAACTGAGGATAGCATTAGTAAGCAATATTATGTCTGAAATACATGCATGCCCATACATGTATGATCCAATCAGAAATATTGTAGATGTTAACATTATCATTATTAGTTAGTATTCACATTCATACTTTTGATAGGTACTTGCTTGGCACAAGGACTACAATGCGGGGTTAAAGAGTGAGGTTTGGTGTGAATAATAATAAAGGTGGTTCACCATTACTGTTCGTGCTATTGTTATTATTAGCCTGTGAGTTTACATTGCTTACTTGTGATGTTTTTGTATTACTTATTAGCCTGTGAGTATACATTGCTTACTTTTGATGTGTTTCTATTACTATGATTTACAGGTAATTACAGCTGGGAATGATTTGCTGATTCAGCAATGCCTTTGCTTGAAATTTTAATGTGCAATATAATGAAAGGCAATTCTGTATTTAGATTGTTGTAACTAAATTAATTAATTTATTAAGTGTAACTTAATGTTTTGTTGCGGCTCCTTGATTGGTAGTTGTATCACGCGGTAGGAATTGCCAGTTTACATATGTATAGGTTTTATATTACTGTATAAAGTCTTAGAAATGGAATATGTAGTAAGATGGAGATTATTGTTAGATGTCTTATGTATTTTGGTATAGGTTATGATTCTAGGTTACATACTCTATATTTGTTTGATGATTATATCATTAATTATGGCCACAGTAAGTACTTTCTTTACTCAAAATAAATGAATGCTTGCCAATGCATCTTTTGTTGTGTGCTTGCATGTTCTCATTAACAATACAAAAAATAATTGTCTGCACATTGGAATGTATTCATGTGGTCTATTAATGCGTATCTGCACATTGCAGGTCTCATAAAAGAAACTTAATTCAGGATGGCATGAGTCAGCAAATTGAACGGTGTATGTCTAAATTACATGTACAGTGTATGTACATATACTTGTATGAGTTAATCATAGCTTAATATGCATTGTGGAGCTATGCATGTCTTTTATGTATATTAATTGTTGATAAATGCATGTATGCTACTGTCAATTTGTTAGTACATGTTGCATAATTTCACATTCATAATTTACACAGGTACATATTTTACACAAGGACTTCAATGTGGCGAGAATAAAGCCAGACTTGGAAAGAGATTTAAAAGGTGAAGGGTTATTCCTCTTTGTGAGCAGATGTATCTTTATAGTGGTTGGTAATGTGTGTTTGTGACGAACATAATTTACATCATGCATATACATGTAGATAGCCTGTGTGTTTACATTGTTTGCTGTTGATGATGTTTATTTCTTACTTTGCTTTAAGGTATATTCAACTGCAAATGATTTAATGATTCTGCAATAAGGTGTAATACAATACTTTGATAGCATGGTAAATGTCTAAGGCTATTGTCTGATTTTGTTTGTGGTAACTTAATTAATTTCTAATATATAAACATCTTTGTAACATAATTTTTTTTTGTAGCTCTTTGATCAGTGGTGCTTTCACATAGGATGAGGCGCCAATTTCCAGCTGCACAAGTTTCATATTGTTATAGTTTTAGCAATTGAATACATAGTGAGATAGAATATTGTGAGATTCCATGGTTTGTTATTGTGTTATAAATCATGATCCAAGGCTATAATTCTTTTTCATGATTAATATTGATTATCTGATTAACTATGGCCACAGTTTGTATTTTCTTTAATTTTCTTCATTTACTTTAATATCATTGGATTTATAGTTAGTATTAAAAATTTAATGTTGGACATCTAAATTTCATATTTACTTGCATAGATTATGAATGACGACGGCACTGTGCATGTTCGTGTAATTGAATTCACCGTCGCGCTATGTATATATATATATATATATATATTTATTTGTATGTCCACACTTACATTTCTTCTATACACATTGTATTGGAGAAATAACAAGCCTTAGGAACCACCCGCCCACGCTCCTTTACGTGAGTGGGCGTGGTCAGGGCATAGAAAATGGCAGCTTACACATGGGACAAAGTTAAGAGTTTTCTAACAGCAAGAGAGCTTAGAGATACTGTGTAAAGACTTCTCTAGAAGCATTATAAGGTAGAAAGAACCTCTATAAGTCTTAATAATGACCAAGTTGTACTTGCAAGGTGGTGAAATCAATTATAGGAATATTTTTTACCCTGTTACGCTTGTTTTAAACCATGCATTATGATAATGTGAATTTTCGTCTAGAAATATTGAAAGAAACTAAAGGGAATAAGTATTTATGTCTTGTCAAACATTTCACATTGCTAATGTATTTTCATCCTGGCTTTACACTGATGCATTTTTAATTAACAGTTTGATTTTTTTATTAACATTTATTATTATAAAGACAAGTTTTTAGAGTACATGTAGTTAATAAAAGTTATAGTTCTTGACTGAGGCCCCTTGGGACCTTGGCCTACGGCACCTACCTCCACCCTTGCCAGCTCTCATTTGTAAATTGGCATACTATTACGGAATATAAATATAATATTACGTACATCATAGTAATGACTCATTATTTGTCTGTTCACAGCCCTCAGCCGGGCAATTATGTGCGGCCTTTGCTGTTGCAGCAAAGCAGTCCTGGGCCAGGAGGGAGCACGGGTGCCACTCCAGGAGGGAGCACCGGCGGGCCTCCATCTACTGGAGGTGGTGGGCCTCCAGCTTGTGGGAGTGCTGGAGGTGGTGGTCGAGGCCCTCCATCTCCAGCTACTGGAGGTGGCAGACATCCAGCTGCTTGTAGAGCTAGTGGTGGTAGCGGGCCTCCGGGAAGTGGTGGTGGAGGCCCTCCATCTCCAGCTACTTCAGGTGGCCGACCTCCAGCTACTGGTTGAGCTGGTGGTGGTAGCGGGCCTCCAGGAGGTGGTAGTGGAGGCCCACCATCTCCATCTACTGGAAGTGGCGGACCTTCATCTACTAATGGTAGAGCTGGTGGTGGATGGCCTCTGGGAGGTGGTGGTGGTGGTGGTGGAGGCCCTACAGCTAATGGTGGTCCGCCATGATACTCATCATAATCAATACTACCAAACAATATGAAAATATATTTGTAGCTAATGTAATTTTGTAAATGAACTGACTTGCTGCTCTTTGAGAAAAAAGATTGTAAAACTGCGGAAAAAGTTAAGCGGGAGCTTTGAGTGTGATGGGAGAAACGGCAACTGAAGCTGAATGTAAACTTAAATATTTTTAGAACAGGAAATAGATCTTAGTAATGTTCAATAATGATTAATAATTATGAGCTAGTATAGGCTATGAATATAATTAATGATTCAAAAATTAAAAAAAAATAATTGTATGACAATTGTTTTTGTAATGCGGTACGTCTTCTTATAGTTCTTATTTCAAAATTCTTTTCTTCCAGCAATGAACTGATACCTGAGGCAAACATTATAATTATTAATAAAAGGATTATTAATTAATTAATAACGATGAATAATTATAAGCGAGGCTATGAACATAATTAATGATTCAATAATTCAAAAAAAAATATTGTCAAATTATATAAAAATTTTTGTCAACAATAATAACAACAATAATAATTATTAATTATTAATAATTTTTTAAATTAATTAGTAATAATTAATAATTATTGACGAAAAAGATTATTAATTAATAAAATTTAATAAAAAGTATGGAAAAAAGTAAATAAAAAATTTCTATTAAATAGGAAAAAGTTGGGTTTTCAAAAAATAAAAGAAACAAGGGGGTTGAGTTCAACAATAATAATAATTAATAGTTCAATTAATAATAATAAACGTTAATTAATACAAAATAATAATTCATAAAAATAGTGCAAAAATTTCAAAGCTTACTTTGCTGAAAATGATAATAGGCAGATATAAAATTTTAATAATAATTATACCTTTGTACCTATTGATTGCTCTACTACATTTTTATGATGTAACTTAATTATCTTGTTAAATATAAATAAAACTTTTCAGCTAGTATAGATTCAATAAATTACTGTCATGACAATTAAAACATCTAATTATAGATAATTATTTGGCTATTGCATTTTTTAATATGTGTGATTCAGTACAATATCTAAAAATTAAAATATTAATGCAGAAGAATTGTAATTGGACTTGCCACAGTTGTGTCGGCAGAACTAAGCAGTTTGGTTATCATTCTTTCATTAATTTTTTTTATTTTAAAGGAAACAAAACTCTTTCATAAAATTCTGCAAGCAGGGTTTGAAACCTTTGTACAATTTTTATGAATTATTATTTATTAATTAACGTTTATTATTATTAATTGAAGCATTAATTATTATTATGGTTGAACTCAACCCCTTTGTTTCTTTTATTTTTTGACAACCCTACTTTTTCATATTTAATTGAAATTTTTTTTATTTACTTGTCAGAACTGAAGTCTCTCAGCATTCTATTGATGAATTAAAATGTAACTGGCAGAGGGACAATGTAGTGAAGTGTAATGGTAAGTGACTCAGTACCTACTATGATGAGTTCACTGACTATGAATGCATGCATGCACGTTACATGCAGGCTGGAATGATGCATCCTCTGCAGATCAGATAGTTGTAACAAAAATGGAACAGGATACTGCATCTGGTCCAATAATTTCAATGGCGATTACCGTAAATAATGATTTCACCTGGTTTTGCCATGTCCATGGCAAAAGTCTAGACCATCACCATCTCCTTATCTTGACACTTGCCAAGCACTTAATGCTTTACTTAAGTACTTGAATGCATGTAACTTTTGCTGTGGAAATAATGACAGCAGGTTTGCAGTTCTTGCTGATGAAAGAGATGGAAAATTTATGGATAATTTTGGTTTATGTTCCATTTATATGCATGCATCCACATTTTACTATTGTCACAGGAAAAACATTGGTTGATTGGCATGATGGCAGCACAATAAGAGCCAGCAACTGTGAGTACATAGAGCAGACAAATAATAAAAGGTGCAAAGCTTGCACTAAATACAGACCAGTTTTAATTTCACTATCTCATCGCCAAACTAAGAAGACTGCCAGCATTAAGCCTGCCAGCATTAAGCCATCCACTGACAAGACTAAGACCAATAGAACTGTCCCATTTTCATCTTTATCTGAAACTGAAAAAGTTACCCGTCTAAAAAATTTGCACAATAGCCCTACGAGCTCCCAATTTAATGTTAGCTACCTGCATTCAAAGCTTGACACAATTTTAAAAGAGAGGTGTCCTTGTCTGTCCATCAATGAATGAGGACTTGCTTTGCAAAATGGAGGAGAAGGGTAAAATATGTGCTCTATTTGAAGAGGGAAGTTTTGAGAGAGTACTTTGGGAGCAACAAGAAAAGGCACTGTCAACATCACCAAAGTCAATGAGGTGGCACTTAGTCATAATATAGTGGTACCTTTATCTATGGCATTTGTCTGGTACTGCATACAATGTTCTCTGTAAATCAGGTATACGTCTGCCTTCCCAAAGAACACAGATGATACACCTATGACACTACTGCTGCTTTTGGTTTCTCAGATGAAGTAGATGAGCAGCTAAGAGCAATATCTAAAATAGATGCTGGCAGTGAGAGAGAGAAGTATATCATCTTGCTAATGGATGAGATGAATATACAGTCAGATTTGTTTTGTGACAAAACAGATGGTAAGTATATATTATATATAAACCTGAGCCTGTTCATGACAATGCATGCACACATGTATTTGTTTAGCTTTTTTTATTGGCTTCACAAATATTGGTAACAAATAATCATACAGAAAGATGCTTTAAGCAAGCATTCTCAGCCACCTCTAGCTAAATCAATGCTAGTTTTAATGGTACAAGGATTATGCTGCAATTTTGCATTTCCTTATACACAATTTCCCTGTGTTGCAATGTCTGGAGACCAGTTCTTTCATACTTTCTGGAGGCAGTAGAGAGGCTGGAGATGTGTGGCTTTAAGGTTATGGGTTTAGTTAGTGATGGTCTATCAGCAAACAGATGCCTCTTTCGCTTACACATGAGAGATGATTAGTTCAGTTACAAAGTGCACAACCCATATAGCAGCGACAACAGAAGTATCTACTTCGTATCTGACTCTCCTCATTTAATAAAAACAACTTGCAATGCATGGTCTAATGTGAAAAGAAATCTTTGGGTATATAAAAATATAATGTCACTACAGTGGCGTACCCAGGGCATGGTACATGACCCCCCGGGCCATGGCTGGGATCAGGAAATCATTTTCTGTAATCAGCCTTGACAGTCAGTCATATCACTACTAAGAAAGTTATTGAACACAATTATTTCCACCTCACTTTTAGTAGTTTCCAATGCTTTATAAAGAGAAATAAGGAGCATGCATCATGGTCAACCGTGCTCAACCACGAGTCCATGATCCACATACCCAGCCATTATTAATTCCCTGCATGGGTACGCCCATATAGCTAGTTGTTATTGATAATTTTTTTGCACCATGCATCTTATTTACTTTTGATTTTAGTGTAATGGAAAGAACATCTTGTGGTCACATTTCAGAGCCTATATGAAAGAAATAGATCAAATAGTGGTTTGATTTTAGTACCCAAGTTAAAACTAGAGCATGTGTGCCTGACCTCTTTTTCCAAGATGCGAGTTGATCTTGCTGCTCAGGTATTATAGCTATGCATGCATGTACTGTATGTTAAGACTTACATTTATATTGTCTGTAAGAAATGATACATGTAGCAAATGATATACCTTTCAAAATCATACATGCACATGCATATAATTTATTAATTTGAACAAATTTTCTTAAAGGCGCGAAGTTCATGAGTATCAAAGGCACTAACAATAGTTGTTGGAGATGAGGCAGAAGAAACAGCTAGATTTTGGGCTACTTTGATAAGTTTTTTGATGAGATGAATGTTTTGAATTTTGATGAAGGAAAGCAATTTAGGAGTTGCTTCAAAGCACCGTACAGATCAGGAAAGGATTTTAGGTTAAAAGTATCTAATTAACTATATAACTCTTGCATGATCACTGATTTTATGTCTATAGTGGCTGGAACATGATTTCCTCCAGTGGGACAAGAGTATATCAGAGAGACAAGGCCACTATACAAAGGTTCAAAAGAATATGATGTTGCTGAGCAAAGAGACATTAGAATGATTAAAAGTTACAGGTAAGAAATATACTTTTGACAGTTTATGCATTTGTTGAGCTGGTGGAGTTTTTATTTACAGTCCCGGATGTGACTACATTTTTAAGTAATAAAATCTGTCAAGATAGACTTGATAACTTCTTTGGCCAACAACGGCATCGAGGAAGGACAAATGATAACCCGAAAGCTAGGGACTTCATAAAGAACACAAGCATTGAGAGTCATTAATACATCATACAACTCCTGCATTAAAGTTAAAGGAAATTGCTGTGGTAACAATTATGACAGTAGTGATCAAAGTGCAGAATCAGAACCATTGCTGAAAAGGCGCTCCAAGCACCAATACACTAAACATGCAGTCATTATTATAATACACATGTATAATACAGAACATGATAATAATTACAAATATAAAGGAAAAAGTATCTCAGTCGTGTAAACATTTCTAAATATAGAAAGTGATTAAAATTAAGTTACATTTTATGTTAAGTTTCTGTAGCTACATGTAGATTAGTGTTCATGGTCATAATGTAACTGCATGGTTATAGCTCAGATAGAAAAATTTCTTTTCTTATACCTTTACCCGAGTTTTTTGTTACTCTTTTTATATAACAAACAAAAGAATATGTGAAACAAAAACCTCTAATTATGACATATTGCTTAATTATTATTTTTAAAAACTCGCTTGCAGCTGCATCATCTTCGAAGGAAAGACTCAGAAGAGACAAATAACACTGTACGTATTTAATTTCAGCAATTATTTCTTCGATGAAATGTCTATCTGGATAGCTATTGCTGTGTTGTTGAGGCCTATAAAATCTTCTTACAACCTTTTCTATTTGATGAAATAGTTCATATGTCTCATCAGACATATGCCAGAGGCCACCTCTATCAATGATGTTGCACCACCTCTCCATACCTCTTTCTTTATCTACTTCATCACCAAACATTCCCATTAAGCACTCAATCATATCCTTACTGCAACCCACACTGGACTTCTCTAAGCTCGTCTTAGTCTTCTTCACAATATAGCCACAGGTATAGCGCAAAGCATTTTTCTCTTCCCAAGAAAGTTTGGTAATGTCAGTAACACTTAATTCAACTACATGACTACTAGTACTTGCAGTGGAAGAGGAGGCAGTATTTGATGATGTTGGCTGCTTACTAGTTCGGCTCGTTTGATATCTCAGTTTAATGAGAGATTTCAAAATGTGATGTGTTGTGTGCTGGTAAAATTTGGAGGAGGGATTTTCCCTGTTAATTTTTGAACAAATTCTACCCACATGGCAACGTATGTCGAAGTACTCCTATAGTTATGGTAGTCACCCCATGTGACACAATCATTTCTCATGGTAGTAAACACAGACAGTTGACAAGCTAACTCAATAGCAAAATACTTAGAAGAGTCATTTTTTTCATTGCTGATAGAAGGTGAGATGCCAGTTCTCGATTCAATTTAGCTTGTGGGCTCTATATGGTTCCTTCAAGGATGCTTTCTACTCTAGCAGTTAATAAACTACAATGATGTACTGTTAAGTAAACAGTAAAACTACAAAATTTAGTGTGCTACTTATTTTAGCGATATTAGCGAAGAGCCTCAACATGCCAAATTTAATATTCGCTAATAAAAACACCCTGTCACATGATCACAAAATGTCGCTGATACTATACTAGTAGATGGCTCTCTTCTGCTCGGTTGGCAACACTACCAGAGGAAAAAGAACCCTGTAGAACACAGCAGCAGCTAACAGAAAAGTGGGAAAAGTTTAATGATACACCAAATTTAATAGTCACTAATTTGACATTAAAGCATAAACACTAAATAAAGTAGCAGCAAACATAAATGGGTTTACAGTAAATTAAATTTGGCAGTACAACATAGCCTTACCACATGAGAATGATTGACTTCTCTGAGACTAGTAGCAACTAGCCATAAATCTCCTAGTAAGCAGCATTGCTGCAGTTACAACGTCTGTGCAATTATAATAATTAATTAATAATCAATTAAGTAAAAATATTAACATTTAATGAATGATAACAGAGTCTGATAATTGACTTCCGGTCTGTAACCAATCCCAGTTACATAGTCTATTATATCTCTGGCTATAATGAACTACTTTGTGGTTTAAAGATTGTTTACATAGTTAATTACTGCACCTCTTTCACAGTTTACATAGGTAAACCTAATTTTACATGACTCCAAAAAAATTTTGGGGCACTACCCCTATTAGATCCACCTTTGCTCCTCATTTAGAAACTTCTGTGACTCCTCCCTAACACTGTTGTGCTTAAATTTGTCTTCCATTTAATGGCACAAATCATATATTCCATCTCAATGATTGTTCTATTTCTCGAATTTATATCTGATTTATTCAGTTTGTTGATGCTGATTGGTCACCGATAACATTATGAATTATAATTGATAAATTAATGAATGCAAACACTTAACAGTGAGCCCTTTATAAACCAAATTAATGTGCTTGGCTTGGTCATTGGCGGCAGAAGAGTGAAAATATGGAGGGGTATGATTTTCTGTAAAGTGGGCCTGAAACAATTTGGGATCTAATTAATATTTATGAGGGGCGTGGTCAGTCAATTGACTGTTATTAATACTATTTTGCTTTATCATATAACAAAAAATATGTGAAAACGATCCAAAACATTTTCTCTCCTGTTATTTATTGACAATAACTCTTGCAACTTCAACTAAGTCTAAAGGAGTAGTGCAATCTTTATGACCATGTAGTAACGCTAAGTCGTTCAATCTTCTTTATGTTGTAGTAGTCCTTAAGGGCAGTAGTTTACAATGTTTGGATAGCAGCAAATTGCAGTTGCTAAAACATCACATCCAGAAATGAAGGGACATGCAAAGAAAATTATTAGTACAATTCTATATACTTGCTTCTTTCTTTTGTATAGAGTACCGATGGGAGGAAGAAATCGGCACTTGATAACTTCTACTATGGTGAAGTTTGCCTATCTCCCGCACTGGAAACTGATTCTAAAACATTGAATTTGATCTGCTGCTGAAAAGTATACTGATCTGTTCCTACATCTTTGACACCTAAGCTCGAAGATATCACTATCAGAGACGCCATTTTCCATTGCATTAATGTAATTTTTAATTTTTCTTCATTTTTGAAAGATCAAGTGTTATTATTGAAGACTTTCCCGCAATGGAAACTTAAAGTAAAACTTTTTTACAAGACAATGGCCCATAAATTGTAGGTATTTGTGAGCAAATTTTTGTAACTTGAAGCTTCAAAAATTCTATTATTATTGCCTTTACCGCATAATAACGCAGCTGTAACGATGAATATTTGTGCAAAGCCATCAGTTTACTTAGGAAGCATAGATTGTTTGAACAAGAGAATTAATAATTTCAAGTAAGATGTAGTCTTTCTGTTAACCTACCTTCAGGAGTCCTAATTCACTGGAAGAAGCGAGTAGACAGTGGCACTGCCACATATATATCACAGCTAAATGAAAGCATACAAGGAAAAAAAGTACAATTTGCAGATGATAGTAGGGCAAATAGATTGAAAGGTAGACTTCAAAAAAAAGCAGGGAAATAGAGCAGGTACTATGGTTAAGAAAGAGAAGACGTGAGACAATACTGTAAAAGGAAGTCACTTTTATGGTTGCATGGGGTGAGGTATTGACTGCAGATGAGATTGAAGGAAAACTCAGATATGTTTTTAATATGCAAAAACCAATGATTATACTTTACAGAAAATGTATCACTGCTAAGGAAAAACAAGTAGGAGAACCCACAGCTAGGACAAAGCATACGGTTCATTGTAACACAGGAAAGGCTTTTGCTGATGTTATGAACAGACAAAACAGGAGAAAACTGGCATCTATAAAAAAGAGTACTGAAAATGTGCTAGTTTTTAACAAATCTTATGAACTTGACCTACAGTCTGCTTCACTAACATCTCCAAAAATACAAGATAATATTGTACTCAATTTCACATCAAAAATTGTATCACCAGCCCCTTCCACTAGATCCTAAGCAATTGAGACACCATACTGGCACATCCTTCCACTTTATTGTCAGAGTCTCCTGTATGATTAGTAACTGTGACACAACCATCTTCAACTCTTTCTTGCACTTCATTGTCAGAGTCTCCTACATCATACGAATCTGCAACAGCAGAAGTTTTATTCTTACTTGATAAGTATGAAATATCTGACAATTTTTATCATAAAATCTCAATGATTACTAAATCACTGCCACATTCCTTCAAAGTAAAGAGCGTCAAAAACAAATTTCAAGTAGTGTCTTGTATTATCCTTTACATCCTTGATTAGCTGAATGTTACAAGCCATGTGAAGATACATTGAGAGAATCTAACAGTCTTTGATTGACGAAGGAAGAGAAGTAGTTTCCCCAGTAGAAATCAAACTGAGTGGTGATGGTAAGCCTTTTTACCAATTGATCTCATTTATCCTGTTGTCATTCTCTTTTCCATCTTTTGATCCCAATTCATGTTCTGCAAAAGGTACAGCAATTCATGCATGCACAGCAAAAAAATATGTGTACATTGGACACCAATATTGGTGTCCTAGAGCTGTCCCACTGCAGACACTCAATTCAGTGTCTCGAGAACACCTTTAAGTTACAGCGTGATGCGGACACTTAATTTTTATTGTCTTGTATACTCCAGGGCACAATACTTAAACAGGACAATAATTAAACTTGATTAAATGAAAAAAGAAAACAATAATCAACCTTACAACAGTTTAAATGCAAGGATATGTTCCAATAGTTTCCAAAGCAGCGATGAAATGAACAACAGACATTGGTAACTCATCTTTTACTGAGTCAAGAAGTAATGCTTCAAAAAAGGAAAAAAGTTATGGCATCGTTTGATGTAGCAAATATTGAAAACAAAATATGCTGCCATGAAATAGAGTGTAAGAGCCTTTAAGCCAACTTCTATCAATTGACAATCAACAGCGAGGAATGCTTTTTTAGGTGAAGTGATACTTCCAGATATAACAATGTATGGCTATGGTTCCTTCTTTTCCAAAATTATAGAAGTTGTATTAGTTGCACCCTATAACATAAACTTCAAAAATCACTGAAATAATAAAAGTGGCTCACATTTGTGAAGTAAACAATTCTATCACTGTCTGGTTTAGTTTTTCCATCAGACAACAAATAACTCAATAGGACAAGAGCTAGTAGCAATTGATTTCACATATTAAATGAAAACTTTGGAATCAAAAGTGTAAAAGAGACAAATTTACAATTATCTCTTCAATTTCCTTTAGTTTTTCATTCAATCTTTTGTTAAGCGGCCTCTTCATCATAGACTTCTCTAAAATTTCTCCTGAATATCTTCCCATTTCTTCTCTGGTTTTATAGACCACTCATTGTCACCACAAATTCTGGACATCTCTGACATGATCAATGCATTAGAAATTCTATAGTAATTTTGTTTGTTTGAGCAGTCTAGATGTATTAATGGCCTAATTTTAAACTGTAAATTTTACTGCAGGTGGTAGCCCAAAGTAAGCTCATAATATTATACTGAAATTGCTTTTTGTTTTTAGAATTTTCAATAATTTAAAGGCTACATACATGGTTCTCTATGAAAAAACTAAAATAAATTGGTACCTGTTTAATATCATTAAGAAAAGGATACTTCTGAAATAATGTAGTTACATAACAAGGATTCTGAATAGTGTCTTCATGCCTTGTCTTAAAAGTACAAGTCATGAGCTCATTAACTAAATGAGAATTTGGATTCTTCTTATACTTAGTTTGTAATGCTTTAACATTTCTTGAAAAAGAGATTTTGTCTTCACCTGAAGGAAAATAATACAGTTATAATTGTAAAGTACAAATGTAGCTATTTCCTTGCCTGATTCATCTGTTGAGCTGCAAGCAGATCACAAAAGTCTGCCTCCAGGCATTTTCTTTTCTTCATATTGCTTCCTAGATGTAGCTGGATTCCTCTTCTTGTTCCATCTGAAATTTTTGAAAGCGTCTTTTAAAGAACAAACAATAGCACCCTAATATCATTGATATAAGAATAAAATTAGTTTTGGAGAGCCAATCATAAATCATGCCTACATATTATAATGATTGCATGCTGTAATAAAAATTCCCTCCTTGGGATATTGGGCAAAATACCTGCTACTCTTCTCTACAGGGTGCTTGACTGGAATTTTAAGCAAATTAAAAAATTTATAAAACATATAACTTTGATTGATTCAAAAAATATAATAATAATTGAGAATTCTGTTGCAGCCATTTTTACAAAATACCCTATTCGTAACATGGTAGCGTTACAAAATAGGATTCACCCAACTCATAGCCAATGGTCTTTTGACTAAAATTTTCAGCAATTTACAATCAATCAAAATTTGTTTAGAAGTAGGCACAAGCCATGCATGCATATGATATATTGTAATAATGTGTTTTTAAATAACAATAAAATTAATGTCAAACAATTGTTAAGAATTGATTGGAGTGTCAAGGGAGGGGTATGGCCATGTTCCTAAAGTATACATTTTACATCTAAGAGATCTACATTGATTGACATCATTGTTATTGTTACTGACTTACCATAGCAGAACCAATAGGAGACTTTACAAAAGGATATTTAGTGATGATTAATTGTGCTACATTAATTAAATTTTCCATACTTAGGTATGTTTTATAGGTAAGCATTGATGATGCTATACGAGATAGAAACGCTTGCCGAGCAACGGTCGAGAGTCTTTCATTCTTTAATCTTACTTCAACCTCCAATGTATAACGTGTTGGCAAGGAATATGGATTTGGAAGAGGTATACTATCTTCAGGCTCTTTCTTAATTTTGAAGCAACTTATGTAACTTCCATACTACATGCATTTTCTGAGTCAGGTATACTGGAAGAAGCTTCAGTGGACTCATCGTCACTGCGTATAGCTGAATGCTCTCTTTTCCTTATGTTACTTCTGCTCTGTCTCAACTTTGGTGACAGACTTTTAATGGTGCATATTGGAGATAACGATATTGATGGTACTGAATCACAGTTGTCAGCATTTACTGAAAAGGATTCAACACTCTCGTGGTGTCACAATTTTTGAGACTATGATAACTTTAGTTTATCCTTATCATCTATTGCAGTGCCCTCCTCAACTTCAACGTCATTCCACTCTGAGTTATATTAGTGAAATGATATTGAAATAGATAAGTTTCCTTGATATGAAAACTTCCTGAATTCCTGCTTTAGAAACGCCAGCTCTTTTCCTGCAAAGCTGCTGGGGATTTTGAACAGCCTGTTTCTTTTAAAATAGGATACCATTACTGTCTTCATTGAAATACGGGAAGTTAAAATGGCTCCCCAGATACTTTCCACGCAAAGTTCTTTCTTGAAATAAGCTTGAGATCCTGCTTGAGATATTTCTCGTTCTCACTCATTTTTTCCCACTTCTTGTAATGTTTTTGTGTGGTTACAGGTTATGAAATGGGCAGTGGGCAAAACTTTTTGGGCATGGCAACTGTCGTGGCTGCTGTTTTGAGGAACAAAAGATATGTTTGCTGGATTTATTATGATGCTGCTGTTCCAACTCTGAAAGGTGTTTTAAAGCATATGAGATTGCATCATGATCATGACCCTCGATTTTAAGTCTGCTATGATATTGAAGGATGTACCAGCAACTATTCTAACTTTTATTCTTTAAAGAAGCACTTGTACAGAAAACACTTGGCAGCTTTAGAAGTATATACCCCAGTTCTATATGGTTTTGATGCTAGTCTAGATATGGCAGGAGAGGATGCAAACTCTGATGTGAACCATGACTGCTGGACACAGGAAGAATCTACAAGTGCACTAAGTGCCATTTCTAGAGCTCAGAAACACGCTGCTATATTTTTATTAAAGTTAAAAGAAACCAGAATAGTTCTGCAACTGGCCATTGATGACCTTATAAATGATATACCTTCAATGATACAATGTGAAGTTGCCAGGCTACAGACTATTGTTGATCTCATTTTAAAGAAAAATGGTTTGAGCATGTCAGCTATTAGTGGGCTTCAGAATGCATTTTCTGTAGTAAATCCCTTTGCCCAACTCAGTTCTAACTATTTGCAGAAGTTTTATAAGGACCAGTTCCAACTCTTGGTTAGCCCTTAATATTGAATGTATCCTTTTTAATTTGTTTTTTTACATTAGAGGAACCTGAAACAATATTGCTTGGCAGACGAACTGCTCTTGTCCTTCGAGTTTCTCGGCCATTTTTGAAATACACTCCTGTTTATATGTACCACATTCCTTTGCTAATATCACTTAATGCTCTGCTAAAGCAACCAATTGTACTTAAAGAGGTGCTTAATATTATGTAACTGTAAGTATTTTAATGCAATATGTAGGTTATGTGTGGACACAGTCAAACTGATGGGCAATTAGGAGATTATTGTGATGGTTCAAATTTTAAGGCTCATCCCCTCTACTCAAAGGGACCAAATTCACTACAAGTCATGCTCTACTATGATGATCTAGAGGTGTGTAATCCTCCGGGAATGAAGGTCAAACTTCACAAACTTGGTAACTAAGTATGATTTATAAAACATTTGTAATCGTTTTACTGTATTTTTTACTACACTCTGGGGAACATTAGCCCAATTTTTTATCACAGTTACCATCAAAACAACTCTTGGCTATTGTGAAAAAATGATTAATAAGTATGGTATTGATGCAATATTCGAAAAATTTATGAAAGACCTAAAGTCTTTAGAAGCGGTGCATTGATTACAATACATTTAGAAAATAATATATTCTTGTAGAATGGCATTACTGTATAAATAAATGGGTAAACCATTCCTTTGAAGGAGTCATTGTAATTGACATCTGGTGACAATTTATAATCACAACTTGGAGGTTACAAATCTCCTTCAGGAGCCCTACGTATGTGTACAAATTGTATGGTAACTTCTGTTGATGCAACGAAGAAGGTAGGAAGAGTTTTGATTCACTAATATTTCACAAATATTTTGTTTAGCTTATAATGAAATCTCTTGTTTTACAAACACGTGAAACATATTCATGTCACAGCTCGTTTTTGAAATGTCCTCTGCAGAATCATGCTGTTAAAACCTATGGTATTGCAAGGGAGTCTATTTCAACTAATTCAAAGTACTTTCATGTTGTTGATGGGCTTGTTCTTGATGTCATGCATGATGTCTTGGAAGGATGTGTTCCATATATGGTGAAAGAGCTTTTAAAGTATTTAATATCTCAGCATATAATCAGTCTGGAAGAACTAAATAACCAGATTGAGTCTTTTCCTTATTCTAAACTTGATGTTAGAAATAGGCCTACTGTAATTCCTTCAGCTGTTATGAATTCATCAGATCATTCAGTCGAGCAAAATGTATGACACTGCATATGCTCTTATGCAACCATCACTTATTTTTAATTCATGCCGCTCAAATGTGGTGCTTATGCCACTTGTTGCCATTAATGATTGGAAACAGAGTTTCTCAAACCGATCTAAGATGGCTAAACTTCCTTCGGTTTCTGGATATAATGGATATAGACCTAGCTCCAAAATTATCACCAGATGATGTTGCATATCATTCATTACTAATTGAAGACCACCATTCTATATTCGTTCAGTTATATCCATCATGTACAATTACACCAAAACTTCATTATTATGATACATTACCCTAATTGCATCAGCAGGTATTGGGGATGTTGTACTAAATTCAAAATATTTCATTTTCATATAGGTGTGGGCCTTTAACCAGGTTTTGGTGTATGAGATATGAAACAAAACATAATTACTTTAAGGAACTTGCTTAATGTATACAATGTTTCAAGAATATTCCTAAAACATTGGCTACTCACCACCAAAGGCTATTTTGTTTTGTATGCTAATTGTGCTGATGACAGTTTTTGCTCAAAAATATCACTAATGGCCCATGTAAGTTCACTACAACTATGTCATAAAATTAGTAATCATTTTTTAGCATCTCAAATTCCTCTTGATAACTTAGTAAATTATTACACAAAGCTTTTGTATAATGAAGTACAAAAATGTATGTAAACAAATTGTAATAAGGTAGACTCTGCTATTGCAGTTTTACATGTTAGCATTATAATTAGAACTATAATGGGCACACATACAATTGGAGTCTTACAAGGAGCAGAAAATTACAAGTCCATGAAGAATCATTTAGCTCTGCTGATTGATGAAATTAAAGTTTCAATTGAAGAAAGATTCATTAAAATTGATTCTCAATGCTATGAACTTAACTTTGTCATTGGAGGAGATTACAAGGTATTATACTAATAATTTCAGATCATATCTACATATGATTATAATAGTACTCACTACTTGTTTATGGAATAAATGCAGCAAATGCAAACTACACTTGTCTATTTTGCCATATCAAAAAGGATAGAAGGTAGTTAGCTACATAATGAATATCTACAGTAACTCACAATTGCTATGAATCTTCTTCAGGTATGATACTTCCGTAACTGCTGGTCATTGTCCAAAGATAATAGTGGCTACTATAAGTAGGTGCTTGACATCAAGCGATAATCTTGATTCTCTTCATAAGTCACTATTTGATATCAAGATTGATAAAGTAAACAATAACTATATAAAATAAGTTTACAGTCTGTACAAATTCTATTACACATACAGATTATAATGGATGAACTACACCTTTCATTGAGAATGATTGATGTACTTCTGCATAATTAAGTCAAAGCAGCTGTATATTGTGATCAACACTTAACTACAAGGAGTACAATACACAAAGAAATGTTGCTACAAAAAATAAATTGATGTGGAATCACTTTCAGAGAAAGTCAGTATTATAAATTTTTTTTCTATTGTGTCATACATGAATGCATGGAGATATGTGAATCAAAAACTAAAAGAAATGAATACCAATTTACTTTATTACAGGGAACAGATAGAAAAGAAGCTCCCGCTGAAATCACCACCACACATTAACAATATAATACCAGGAGATAATGGAAATAAAACATCAAAATTAAGGAAAGTAAATTATTGTGATTCGTAAATATAATCTCAAAGATATTATAGGACTTTATATATGACTTGATACAAAAACCTGAGCGAACTGATACTGATATTGACACTGTACAAAGCAAGGTATTAATAACAACTTTGAATATCAATTAATAACATAGTGATGATAGGCATTTTTTGGATAAAAGAGTTTGCAATGATTCCACTTGATGGTGATAGGAAAGAAAACATTACTCCTTATTTGCACATTATGGCTTTTCATGTTCCTCACCAAATGAAACAACACAGAGGAATTAAAAGATTCATAGGACAAGGAATACAAGGCTAATATAACTTGTGCACTTGGTTACAACATGCAGGTGTTGAAAAAAGCAATGTATGGCAAGAGAAGATTACTGTTGTAGTAATCATACAGATCCTGCTAAAGATAATTTATTGACACAAAGTTGTATAGACAAATTGAAAGAATAAAAGTGATAGAGAGACCATACCAGAAACAACATTCTGCATACCGTATAGCTGGAACAGTTTGTGGGAATTAAATTTTGCAATTTTGTACCAATATAGCTAATTTTAATGTTTGTGGAATTTAATTTTGCTGGTGTAGGTGTGTGCAGTTGATAACCCATTACTTATAATGCTTTGCG